TGTGATCGGCCTTTACTACTTACTTTTTATACTCGTATAGTTCAACGAGACGTCACCGTGGCAACTATTACAGAACGTCAGTCAGTCACGGGGTCAGTTTGGGTCCTGGTCTTAAAGATGTGGAAACGTATTCGAATGTCGGCACTTCTTCATACCATCCTCATGATGTCCTGATGAGTGAATAGATCAGATTGTTGATATTGTAGAATGTAGACCCGTTGCTAGGCAACAACCGCGAAATAAGCAAATATACATCAGCCGTTACTGAGTAAGGGCTTCACAAACAAATATGTTCTCACGGAAACAACTGAATTACAGCAATGAGAAGCGGTGTCTTCTATGTGGTCCGTGCCTAGATGCTATAAGCAGGACAATTAGCTCAAGGGGCTTGGGGGCCAAGACAAACTGATTGGCGATAAACCGCTAGTTGTAAAGTTATTTTGACTGACTTTGAGTGCAGTTCAATTGAATGAAGTGAAGTGAAATAGTTGTTTGGTGAGTGAGTGTGTTAGAGAACTGCTGAGGTTCAGCCCTGTTGAGCCGTTGCGGTTATAAGCTGGTAGCCGAGGCACTGGAATATTTCGGGAACCCAGAGGAAGGGGAACGTCCGCCTTTGGAAGTCGCTACCAGGCAACGGCTGGAGAAGACACAGCAGACTGAGAAAACTTAGTGCGTGCTCTAGTGAACTACAGAGTGTGTGATTTAGCGATAGCGCTGTACTTACTTGTAGTTACAACCTGTAAGTGGTCAGTAACTTCAATTCCATTATCCAAACCCCGTCTATAGTCACTCATACACGTGACAGTATATATTGCCTGTGGCGAGTCGCTGTAAGTAACAAGTGCCCACTTCGTTCTTTTATTTACAACAGAACAATACCAAGATTACAAGACCACAGGAGGCCTACTCCTTCCGAAGGAGAAGTGAAAGTTTTAAATATTATCTTTGAGAGATCGTACCAAGAGCATCTCTCGAAGTTCGTACGTTCCACTCTGAAGTACTTCGTTCCATTATCATTTATTACCTCGTTATGTAACCAACTGGCTGATCCCATTGTGCGTTGGGTGCCTTTTATGAAACCCGAAACGTCATTACCGTGTTCACAATTGCTCAGCACTTGGCCCTGCCCTGAGCCATATGAATTCAGTCCAGATCCTCACATTCACGTTCTTTAAGATCTATGCGTGTTACATATCCGGGCCATTTCGTGAATATCGAATTTATCATCTTATTTACATTCGGCGAACCGTACAAATTATGCAACTCCTCATTATGCAACGTGTAAACAAAACTGCATTAAAATCACGATGCTGTGAATGTTATTTTTTAATTATATGTACTCGAAGAAATCTGAGTGGTTCATCCGTTACCTTCCATGCAACGAGTTTCACTGTATGCACACCACACTGCGCCTACTGCGTACTATACGCAGACATTTTTGCACATCTCATGTGATAATCTCAGCAGCAGCAGCAGCAGCAGCAGCAGCAGTAGCACTGTCATCTTCAGGTGCTGCTTCTTCTGAGACAGCAACAGCGAGCCGGTTGTCTCAGCGGTACTGCTTTTGACATATTTTCGGAAATTACCTTTTTCGAATCTCAGACAGTAAACAGGTTACCGGGGGCATGGGGTAGCGTAGTTGCTTGAGGCACAATACTACAAGCCAGACGGTCGCGGGATCGAATTCCGATGATGTGGAATTTTTTTTTCAATTTACCTAATCCTTCCAGCCGCACTATAGCCCTGGGGTTGACTCAGCCTCTAACAGAAATGAGTACCAGGGGGTAAAAGGTGGCCTCGGTCTAGAAAACCGAAATTAACGGCCGTGGGGATCCGTTGCGCTGACCACGTGACATCCTCTATACCCTAAAGTTAGCACTAACTTCGCCGACAAGCGGCAGTCGCTCGGTCGGTCGGTATAGTTCGCTTGCGGACTCAAGCCACGGAATTTGTTTGAAAAGGGTGGCCGGCGCGTAAAGCTGATAACCTCACTGCCACCTGTGAGCCGATTGTCTAGAAAATGTGAGAGCTTCAACAACTTACAACCGTAACGGCCTTTCACAGGGATACCTTTACCTTACACAGGCTTACCACAACTGTAATTTTCGTGAATTTTTTAAGCCCTTCCACCTTAATGTCGGGACTTATCGTGAGTAATTCATAACCACTCCCTCCAGATTCACCATCATATTTATTCTACAGGCGCATTCGACGCTGAAAAGCGTATACGGTTGATATGAATCGTCAATGTAGTTCCTAAATTAATCTGAATACTTGCAAATTGGAATATTATTCTTCTTATTCTTCTACGTTCGTATTAGGTCCTCTGGCCTGTTTCCAGTCAGAGCTAATCTGGTACTATAGACCTTTTATAGACAGTTGGTAGGATTCCTTGGACGGGGGATCAGCTCCGTCCCAGTGCCGCTACCTACGCAGAGCAACACAAACACAGAAGAAAGGGGGACAAAGATCCATGTCTCGAGTGGGATTCGAACCTACGATCACTGTGTTTGAGCGGACAAATACACTTCATGCCTCAGACGGCGCGGCCAGTGTGATCGACAAATATTAAAAAAATAAAAATTATATAGCATATCGTCTTGTGCCATATACGAGCTTCGTAAGGAAAAAAGTTCTCATTTTAGTCATAAAATTAGGCGATAATGAATCATGATAAAAACACCACACAAATATTCACGTTGGAACAATTCAGAAGCCTGGAATAGGACAATTTTTTTTCTCATATTTCTCCACACGTAATAATCCTCCCCCCTCATTCGACTCCAAATAACCCATGTAGCTGATAACGGTCGTCAGTGTACTAAGAGAATTCCAAGTTATAATATTCGTCAGAGCCGGTCACGGTAGCCGAGCGGTCTAAGGCATGCACTGTCTTCGCTCGCTCGGAAGCCGGGATCGTGGGTCCGGATCTGTTTCCTGTGAGGTACGAACTGA